CGGTTAGTGGTCCTTTTATCGTTTATCGAGGTCCTCTTTTGTCGGTTTTATTGTCTGATAAAAAGTGAAATTCGGTTAAATGTCCGCGTATTTTGTGGTTAGGTTCTAAAAAAAATAATTACTAGGTATTTAATGACAATACGCCACCGCACTTCTTGTCCTTCTGAACAGAACAAGTAGGTTTGAAAAAGGTATAATATATACATCTTAATGAAAGAATTCAGTAACTGTAAAACCTCATAAAAGTTAACATCACATTACGCATCATATGTCTTTATTATTATTTGATACTAACTACTTAAGTCCCTATTAAAATGATTGTTACGGTACCTGATCGTCTGACTTACTGAAGTTGCAAAGTACCTAAATACAAACATTTGATATATGATATTTTGTTATTGCAAGTTTTATGAATGAAATTTTACACATAGTTCCACGTAAGACAAATTTATAATGAATACGGTTGTGTAATAGTTCTTTTAAGGACATTTTATTATAGTCAACAGAAGCTGACCTCTTAATGTCCAATTATGAAAAATCCACAACATTTCTTCAAACAAAAGTAGTCTGTAAACATCGGAAATAACGTCTATAATGGTGTAAGTGGGGAGCGGTCACCGGTAACCGCTTGGTTCAGACGATTAGAAGTTGGTCCTTTTTGTACCAAAGGACCACATTTTTGTTTTAACAAATCTCATGCTTAGTAGCAATTTGAATTACGGAAAGATCATTTTAGCATTCCTATAATATCATACAGTACTTCGTATAACTTCTTAATTTCTTAGTCTTATTTTTGTCCAAAACATTGGAATCTCCTCAAATGGATGCTAAAGACCTGTATAAAGGACTTGTAAGTTTGCCAGTAACAGTATACTTCTGTGGCGAGGATACATCGACTGGTAAACATAATATTTTAATATCCCGTTACCCTATTGTCGTCTGCGGTCTGAACAGAGCTTCTTTCCCACAGTGCGATATTATGGCGTTTTATATCGAGTGTAAAGGGTTTAAAAGTTATGAGTTGTGAGGCAGTAAAATGTAACAGTGGTTCGAGGTGATTGGCGATGAGAATTTTTTAAGCTATGTGTTTTATGTAAATGGATATCGACCTCAGAAGCTTTATTGGACACTGACTTTGTTATGTCTTCGACGTGGATGATATCACAAGTGAGGTTTTTTCTTGTTCATCCAGTTGTTGTTTAAATAAACATCAATGACAGTAATTGTGAATAGTCGAAAACAAGGTCTATAGGTTATTACTTCTTAAACTGTCAAACACCGACCTATTGTTCTATAATTGTGTCTATAATGATGGTACACAACGAGTTAAATCCTCATAATCATATAACATCACGCCTTTATCCCCAAAGGGGTAGGCAGAGGTGCATATTACGGCACTGTACTATTTATGCTATAAGTCCCATGTAATAGAGAATGAGGCTATTGCCATATACCGGGCATGATTCCCGGCTCCGTACTACTACTGAGATTTTTTTAAACTCAGTTTTACTTTGCCCGACCCGGTAATCGAACCCGAGACCCCTTGTTCGACAGGTGCACTTGCGAACACTCGGCCAACGAGGCTATCCACATAATCGTATGAGAAAATGCTCATATTTCTCGATTTATTTGGTTATTTGGGACTGAATTAATGTAAGATATCCCGAAGTTAATACTTTAATGAAAATAAAATGTAATGTCCTCGGAATAATAATGCATTCCAATTCAAAATTTCGCATCTACATAACCATTATAATATTGTCTCAATAGGCGTGAGTCATTTTAAATTAAACCTGTTATATCGTCTGAATTTGAAGAAAGCCAAAACAAAGATATTTAGGTAGAGTATGAAGAAAGAATTACTATGGATGGATAGATGGAGTTCCAAGAGCATAGCACGGTCTGATCGATATATAGAAATTTTAATTTTTTAATTGCTTAAGAAGGTACCTAAATGACTACTTTGCCCTCGATTTTAAAGTATTCTTTCTACATTATAAGTTGTGTTTCGTCGTGTGAGTGACGTTATCGGAGGCCCAATTACCCTCCCCTTCCCCAATCTCCCCAATTCCTGAATCCCCAACGATCCTCAAACACCTAATCCCCAAAAGGCCGGTAACGCACCTGTAACGCCTCTGGTGTTCCAGGTGTCCATGGGCGACGCCGATTGCTAACCATCATGTGATCCGTCAGAAAGTTCACAGGCCTATGCCATGAAAAAAAATTCGTGACAAATTTTATACTTCTTCGCGCCATTATTAACCGTTTTCCTGTTGCGTCGCAAACACAAGTCTTAAAGGCGCTGTGCAGGCGGTAGATATTTTTTGTGATAATTTGATACGTGTACACCTGCACGACAGGTGTGCACGTGCCATGGGTGGGCTGAGGGCTCGGAAGGAACTAGGTTCCTTGTCGGTATATTGTAACGTATTTTGTAAGATTTCTTTGAAGCCTTCTTTGTTAGATGAGGTTAAAATGTAGCCAAATAGTCTCAAATTATATTAAATCAAGTGCTTCTAAACTAAGAATGTCAGAACTTGAGAAAAATATGTTATCTGGGCTCTACCAACAGTCACAGAACGATTTGTCAGCAGACACTTTCATGGATTGGTCATGTTATAAGGCCATGTGGCACGAGGAGAACGGAATACTAATACTCACAAAACAGGACAGGACACCATTTTAATAACCGAAACTAGACATTAACGAACATTAACAAAAGGATTAGTTAACACTGATAATGTGTTACACCAACAACTGCAACACAGACAATCTCACACATCATTCAAACATTAATTTGCAACCATTTCAACCATTAATTAATTGCTACATCTGAATAGCAAATGTCATCCAATTCTAGGTTCAAACAAATGTCATGTAAATGTCAGTCGGTTTAAATATGTACTGCAGTTTTTAAACTAATTGCGTTTGAAGATGACGGTCTAGGACAGGAGATTGTGTTTGCGGAAAATTGCCGTTTTCCTGTACTCTGTAGTTCTTTTGTTTTGTCTGAGAATGATAGGTATATATCAGAATTAAGAAAAGAGTTCTTTACCGCCTTTGAAGAAGACACGACACGTATCAATTTAACCGGATCAATCAAGTGATGCCTTAAATAAGATATTATTTTAGGCCTTCGATATCTTACTGCACCAAATTACAGTTAGTTAAGTATTAATCCGAGACTAATTCTAATATTAACAGGTACTAAGTACCGAATCAAGACAATTTAAGTGTGGAAGAGCCATGCTTCGGCACGAATGGGCCGGCTCGACCAGATTGATACCGTCTTGATAGAAAACCGATGCGAAACAACGCTTGCGTTATGTTTCGTCGTGTGAGTGAGGTTACCGGAGGCCCAATTGCATTGGCAAAAAAATTGACAATTTGTGTCGATTCCATTTCAATAATGATGACATTTCGGAAGTTTTTATTAAGTATTTTAATCTCGATTTATAACGAAACGAATAAAACAGTCAAAAATAATATCCAAAGCTCTTGTTAAGCTATTGTTAAAAACAATAGGTAGATGTTTTTGCATAACCACTGCCACCCAATATCAAAGCAAATATTTCGCTAAAAGCTTTCATTGACTCTCGATAGCGTTATCATAAAATTGTCCATTATACGTTGATTTCCTGTTTCTTACATAAGGGAGATGTCATAGCGAAGTATTTTGCTTAGAAGACTAGTTTCTACCAGCGCCTTCGCTCGCGTCCCCATGGGTTATTAGTTAGTGTTATTCCAGACCATGATCTGCCACTGTTACAAAATTCATCCAGATTCGTTCAGCAGTTTTTACGTGATAGAGTAACAAATATACAAAAAAATCACAAACTCTCGCGTTTATAATTTTGTTAGTATATGTATGTATAAAAGATCTTAGTAAAATATTAAACTCGTAATCATATTTATAGGTGTTTCTTGAAGTTATAAAATCTAGGCAGAAGGTATAATAAATATTTGAAATGGCCATCTGTGTAGGAGGTCTATTACTATCTATAGTGTATGCAAAAGATTTTTTTTTTGAATTTTGGATCTTTACAAAAAAGACGGTTCTGGTCTCAATGAATATTTTTACATTCGATATTTTCAGTGTTGTCTGATATCATTAGTCTATCTTATACTTATTATATTTCGAACTAATTAGATTAATTGAACAACACGAACAAGTCTTAAACGACTTAATTTGCCACGCATGAGGAGTTTTGCGTTGTCGCGTCGTATAAAAAGTCGCGTCAAACTAAAAAAAATAGAATTATTGAGTAATTTGTAAGACAAGTACACTCAAAGTAAAAGTGAAGTATCCGACAATAGAACTATTGAAAACTTACAACAATACATTTTACTACTGACTCCTCATAAACTTGAAGGCACTTCTGTAACGTAACGTTTGTTGTATTGTGGTTGAGACATTGAAGATGAGCGCTTGATAGATAACTGTAAACTTGATGCCAAGCAGGTACATGGGTGATGGGTGCAGCTTTTTGCGCCCTTCTTAATGCTTTCTACGTAATCACAGGTGTACAAGGGCTGGCAAGAGGTGTTAGAAATAGAAATATTCATCATATTTGTCTTACCAAAGTGTTTGGGACAGTTAGGGGTATGATGTTTCTAGTTTTAAATGATTTCTATTACATTTTAACACACAATAATATTGTTACAACTGTTTTGTTTCTTATTATTAATGATTTTTAAAACAAAGGAATAACTATTTAATGAATATTTATAACAGCAGACACTCTATTTACAAATGAGACATTCGAAAACACTGCGCCGACTGTGATCGAACATAAACAATTCAACCTGCTCAACATTTTGTTTTGAAAACAATTTAATGCGATCAATAGGCCACCGTGTTTATCCTTGGCAGTTGTTAAATAGCATTATTCTATTGTCAGGGTAGGTTAGTTAGTCGATGCGTTTAAGCTTTGCGTGCAGTTCTGCAACCCTCCAGTTTGATTGACACACATACGCGCGCGCGCAGGTACGAAGCTGCCGTCAGTCGTCCCGCGCCCGTCGCCCGAGCGCCCGCGTCGTCGTTTCGTGCAATAAAACCGGCCCGAATGCCGGAGAACCAGTCGGCGGGATGGCGAGTCTCGGCGTGCTAGTAGCGCCATGTTGAAACATACGCAGCGGCCGCCAGCGGCGAACGATGCCGACCATCGCTACCAGAACATGCCGCGGCGGCCGCACCACCACCTGCCCCTCAACGTGTCAACCCTGGACTCTTCAAAGCACTCCGTCGGGGGAACCTCGGCGAGCGTCAGCCCTGGTGCGCAGCCGGCGACGACTGCCGCCCCAGTGTCAGTCGTCGCCCCCATACCGGTTGCGTCTCCCCCGAAGCTCGCGAATGGCAATGCAACTGGCATCCCGCCGCCTCGGCCGTCGACCGCCAGGAACCGGAGTACGAGAGCGGCCACCGAGGAGGCCTTGACTTCTCTAGCCTTGTTGTGCCTGGTCAGCCTGCTGCTGGCACTGCTCGCACTCTTGTTCTTGCTGAAGATATCCGCGCCCGCGACCAGTGCTCCTGAGGAGTTTGCAGTGGTGTACGAAGTGACACTTGCGTTGTGTGCGTTGACGCTTTCATTGAATCTTTGCTGTTTGCTCGTGTGTGCAATACAATTCCTCTTTGCTGTGAAATTGGTGCATTCGCCATCAGCTCCCAATGGACGGTAAGTCACTTAATGCATCTGTTTATATTTCCTTTTAGTCTCTAAGGACCAGACCTCTATATCCATGCGATAGGAACCTCAAGATTACCAACACAAATATTATAATCTGTTAGGTTATTACTTGCGGCATGCGTCGCCGGCTCAGTTCCGAACAGACTTATCTCAATTCAGGTTATCTCTTACACAACGGCATAACTGTAAGAAAACTTCAAGTTTTCAACTCGACTATCGGGTTTTTAAGTATTTTTCGTATAATTAATGCTATAACTGTTGATGGCAGAGAATTCTAAGGTTTATTATGGGATTCGGGAATTGGTTACTTAGTTTGTTTCGTTTTTATCAGCGTATGTTTGTGTAAGGTAGGTGAAGCAGGTGTTAACGGTCCGAACTGGCGGTTATTCGTGAATGATTTGATAAAAAATGCTCTGTTCAACGGTTGGGACTGGCTCGCACGCGCCTAGATCTTTTTATGAAGTTCCTCAATCTTCGTTTTAATATTGCTTTCAGTTGCGTGAGAATGTGATCCGTTAGTGTATCGAATCAATGCGTTGTACAGTTGTGTGATTAATTTGCCGAGATCGTTAGCTACTGTTATCGTTTTTTCTTCAAGACGTTGATTGCTGAACCCATCATAACATTGTGGCGAATTCCAAATGGATTACCTTTGAAATTGCTATGTTCGTTCCGATTGGATATTATGACTGAAATTGTGAGTAGACTACATAATATGATTGTAAGCAATACTTATTTAATGATGACTTCACTAAGAAATGAAAATACTAATTCGATTTTCAGTATTGCCGCGCAACCCTATTCTAAACCTGACAAGCATAGTCATATCAACTGAAATTAATAAGACTAATAACAATATCAGTGTAAAATGAGAAGGAAACAAGTAAACAGACTTATATTTGCGAAACTAGAAACAATTCTTTCCTAAAATAGACAAGATTTAGAAACTAAACAGTGATTTGGTAAAAGGAAAGCATCTAGGACAGAACGACCCTACGTTACGTGCCTCAACCGGTATTACTTTCCGGGTTGCTTGTATTTATACCGCGACCGCATAGCATAGGGAACACTAGCACAGAGACAGGTCAGAAAGAGCTATTTTGATGTTTTAGATAAAATTTATATTATAAAACAGCTGTTAGGGAGGAAGGAGTAAAAAGTGAACCGAAGGACCAAGTTTTTTTCTCTAATCTTAGTAGACAAGCTGTTTGGGGAGAAAGGATCAGTAATTGGACCGAAATACCAAAGTTTTTGTCATTGATTTTAGTAAACAAATCGTTGGTAATAATAGACAAGTTCATTACTGTAGTAATTTTAATAGAACATTAATTAATAAGGAGAGAGTGAATTACGATAAAATCAAAATCAGGAGTAATTTTTTTTCAGAAAACTACTGAAAATTAAAAAAGTATTAACTTTGCAGGAATTAAATAATGCTTGTTCCTGAAATCAAGTAATATGAAATTCTTGGTTAACGATGTGATAATAATCGTCTAGTTTAATAGTTATGGAAGTAGCAGTAACAACTGTAGATGTAATCGTTGAAATTCTTAAAATGTCTGCAGCAAGACTTTGGTAGCTTTGAGATTTAATCTTTATAGTACAAAAAATGTCTGGAAGGGAAGTAAGATGGTTTATGGCATCTTCAAGAGTTTGTTTTGTAAACTCTATTATGGATGAATGTGCAGGCGAAATTATATTGTGACCCTTTTTGTAATTCAATAAGTATGACCAGGATATTTATTTTGGTATCTCAACTAAGCTAACATTGGTCCTAACAAATCAAATAGTTCGCGTCTCAAAGGTATGCGTTCAAATGACCAATCACAAACGAACGCTTCATGGTCAAAGGACAGAGGTGATTTAAAAGACACTACAATAATAAACTAACCTTAAACACAAATAAAGCAATAAGTAGGCAATCATTTCTCACTATGTACATGGAACCGGTTGCGGAGGTCTCAGGTATGACCTTTGGCGACTGCAAATTGTTGAAAGCAATGCCATCAGGTCATACTGATAAACTAAGGATGAAGGACTAGTTTAGAGATGCTGTAAAAGACTCCGAACTGGAACCGAATGTTGCTTAATATTGTCAAAACCTTTTAAAATACATTCCAGGTAATTATTTTTATATTTGGATCCCATTTTTTTGTATTTGGCAGCAATTGTGGATTACTTTCGATTCGTAAATAAAATACACGCTGCTAAACAGAACGCTGGTAATCATGAATTAAAATGATGGAGACATTATTAGAGAAAAGAGAAAATAAAAGAATAATAAGTGCTTAATATCTATGAACAAGTGATGAATGAACTAGGTAGCACTGAAGTGAACGGATCTAAAATGTCCCTCTAATTGTCTTCAATCAATCCATTTTAGTGCACACAAGTACAAACCACATTCTAAGCTTGGAGACTGAGAAATCTATTTTCATCGTTCTCACAGCAACACGACAGAAAGAATTCAAATATTTCTCAAGAGCTATCGAGGTATAATTGCGTACAAACTTGTTTTCTAAGCTATGTTCATAATTTATGGCAAAATCAGGAGGCAGGTGCAAGCTTCCACTATGGATCGTACAATAAACGACATTATTGAATTTGCGTGATACACTGCTGGTGTAAAATAGTGGAATATTAAATAAATAAGAGAATAGCTTTAATGTATAGTAAAATTATAAGGCGAGTGAATGTTTGTTTGGTTGCTGTTATTTGCATTGTATACTTCGTTTAGACTGTTTCACAATTCATTCAACAGCAATAAGTTCAAATTGGAGTTCTTAGCGAAATTGAAGGAGCAAGACATAAGTTTCGGTCCTTCGAGCCGACTTAGTAAAATTATATATTTTCGATCCTACAACTCTGTATAAAGAGGTGCAATTCTCTTAAGGGTTTATCCCGTGCGGTGCCCTAATGTGGTGTTTAAAATTAATAAAGGCAAAAGTGTAAACACAAAATAACGTTCTTAATATGAAGCCTAATTTAATTGTGAACAAGCGTCAGATAAGCACGACATAATTCAACCCGTTAGTTGCCATGCATGAACAGTAACACTGAGGAATGGCCTATAAAAAATCTCAACAGTGTATTGTATAATTGTACCCAAAATGTGCATTCAAAAGGTTACTGCAGTTCACGACTTAGACGTAGACGTTAAATAAAAAAGTGATGTAAGAAAAATATTCTAGCCACATTTTATTCAATAAAACGTGATGGAACTTTGAAGTAGGATAGATGCTACTGTTGAAAAAATTAGTATGAAAGTAATGTGCGTACAACTGATTTAAACTATCGTAAGTAACTGTGATTTGTGGTGGATTTATAGCTTGTAAACATTATTTCTACATTCTACATGCGAGGTGTAGCTTAGGGTGTTTGCTGATGAGAAAATATGCATTGATATGACGTTGAGACGGATGTAAAGACAGAAATATACAATGGCTACTTGAGATGAGATTTAGTATTAGCACGTAAGATGTAAGATCCACACCCATGATGCAAGAACTAACTAGTCTAAAACTTTACCACTGGGCCACCAAGATAAAAGCTGTGCCTAGTTTGGGGCCACGGGCACCTCTGACGTGTTTACGTTTATATGAATGCTGTTTGCTTCCATGTCTTCATGTAGTGTAACTTATGTATGTAAATTTTCTCTGTCGTTTAAATTGATATTGTTTTGTTTAATGTATGTTTAAAAATAAATAGATATAAGTTAAGTCGTTGTGTCGCACACTAAACGACTGCTTAAGTATCTTCAAGTTGTGGTTGTGGTGAAAGGATTATGTGTGGACAGCCTTAGTCCAGTCAGAGGCAGAGTAATGGTCCTATAATACTCATCTACATTCTAAAGTAAATAGTTTAATATTTGTTTGCGTTTCGAATGTAACTTACTAAAACGATACAAAATAATATCATTCGAGCTTGAGAATTTTGCTATAGAAAAACTCACGAAAGTAACACATAGACACGTAAAGATAGATACATCTTTTAGTGCCCGAAAAAAAATAGCTTATCTCTAAATATCGGAATCTGAGTCTATAGAAATGGCAAATGGTTTTATAAATCAAACGTTTTATACACTTATATGCGTAATACAAAACACGAACCCAAGATTGATGAAAAAAATGAAATAATAAAAGGACCCGACTAAAAGGACCAAAATCTTTTCAATGAGCTTTCTCATGAGAACACACGTATTAAAAAGTTCCTGGCTTTTGTTGAGGAATCTCGATCGTGTGAAATTGAATTCTTTTATTTTTCATCTTATTCAACTTCTTGTTTTATTCCTCGCAAGGCGGTGCACGATATCAAAAGCGTGTTTTGCCAATTTGATTTCAATTAAGTATTTTTTTTTTAAATTGGCTCATGGCTATTTTTGTTTTGCACCATAACTATATTTTGTTAAATGATTATTGGTCTGGGTAAAGTCTAGAGGTCTGTCAATCACAAGTTTTTGGGTTTAGTTTGCTCTTTTCTGTTCTTTTACATATTTATAAAAAAAATATTTAGTTTTACAACTCCATAACATTAACTGGTCCCAACCATATCTGACTCATTATTTTTAATTAAGTGTTCATTGTGTACTGCTCTATGCACCTGTTCTGCCGACCAGCTATGAACGGAAATCCGTGATGTTACACATCAAGCTTCGTGAACGAACCTCGTATGGAATTTTGAATCGTTATTCTATCCGTATGTTTCATGCCCGAGGTCATTCAGGACCGGTTCTTGAAGCACCACATTCTACAAATAAAATTGAATCTTATTTTATTTTGAAAAGGTCCTATATACATTGATCGGAATTCGCTGTAATCAATGAATGTGATTGATATATTCGATGGCAAATTAAGCGTTAGAATTAAGTCTGCTTGGTTCGCTATTCATGTGTCTTGATGAATTTATTGGTGGATTCTTTACAAATTATAGTCATTTCTATAGGTTTTGTCATCGTCATCATTAGCTTTTATTAAGTGGTCCTTTTTTGG